TGAGATCTTTAAATTTCAAAGAAAATGCTTGAAACATTTTTATCCAGTGACAGATTGGATAAAACCACTCAAAAAACTTTTTTGCAAAATAATCAATGGTTCTAAATGAAAAATCTAAGTTCATTTGACAGAATGTTTCAAGTGCATTTGAAACATTAAAAGAAATTTCAATTTGCTAAAGTTCTAAAAGATACCACAAAAAATGAAGTGTCTCTTTTAAAAATTTCATTGCAATGTGTTTTGGATCAAAACGAAAAAGCATAAAGAGTGGATAATATGGATGAAATTCAAGACCACCAAGTGTTTCAATTCCAGTCTGTCTAATAACAATGGATTGGTATTTGAGCATAAGATCTCTGGATCTGGATTTGAGAGCTTTGATTCTTATAAGCTCATTGATTCAGGAGGAAAATGATCTAAGCAAGGAAAAGAATTTGAACATTTTAAACTCATCTTATAGATGATCGGAATTGAAGGATGAATGATTTGAGAAATTTTTGGTCAGCAAAGAAGATCTGGCAGGAGGTTGTGTTTTCATTTGATATGTTTGACACCAAAATTGAAGTTTGAAAATCATTCTGCCCATCTGAGAAGTTGTGAATTTAGAATTTTTTTTCTCTTAAAAGAGAGTATTTTTGGAAAAGCTGTTATATTCATTTCTACCATGAATTTGTGTCCGATGAGATGAAACTGAAATTTCACAATTCCTTTTTTTATTGCAAGTATCTCCTTGAAAGTAGAATAATAATGCTTCTCCGATTCTGTGAATGATCCACTTTTGTATCCACAAATTCGTTTCTTTCCATCCCTTTTTTCAAGTAATACTGCTGCCCAAAAACAATCACTTGTGTATGTTTGAAGGATGCGTCTCCCATTAGTAGGAATTTGTAAAGTTAGAAGATCTTTAACCTTCTGCTTGATGGTTTGAATTTCTTGAGTTTGATCCACTGGCTAAGGAGGAGGATTGTGTTTTAGCATGAGCTACACTGGTCTTTTAATTTATGAAAGATGATCAATAAAATCTTCCATGTAATTGACAACTTCGAGAAATTGTTGAACATTTTTTTTTTGTCAATTTTTTTCTGGAAATTTAAGAAGTTCTTGGCCAACATGAGGCTGTAATGAATACTGACCATCTTTAATGTATATTCCCAAAAAATCAGCTTCCTTAGCACCTATCATCAGTTTCTTCTCAGAAAGCATGATACCACACTACTTAACAAAATCTGTAAATCTGGAAAGCAAATTGGTGTTAGAGTCTTCATCTTCAGAGCATAACAAGATATCATCAATATTTACCAAAGATGTATCCAAAAATAGATCAAATATTCTTTTCATTGCTTTCTGAAAGATAGAAGGGGCGGTTTTTAAACCAAAGGGCATCACTGTCCACTGATAATGATGGTTTGGAATACAAAATTTTTTTTTTTGTGTCTTTCTTCAACTTTAATTCCCAGCTGCCAAAACCTGCTTTAAGATCAAACTTCGAGAAAACCTTTGCTCGTGACAGGTTTGCAAACGTTGTTTTCCTGTCTGGAAGATGAAACTTATCATCTACAAGAAAAACATTCAACGGCTCGTAATCAATTACCAATCTGAATTTTCCTCGAACTTGTTCACTCCTTTTATTGACATAAAATGTTTGACATGCCCATTGTGAAGTTGTTGGCTCAATAAGACCTTCAACTTGTAGTTGAGAAAGTTCTTTTGTGGCTAATTGAAGATGTTCTAGGTTCATTCCAAGATGACTGGCTTTTGTGGGGTTGATATCTTCATTTCTTTCAAATGGAAAAGAAATAAAGAAATCTGGGTTTTTCTAGAGTGGATTTGTGCCTTTAATAAGGAAATCTAAGTGAGATTCTGCACAACAATCTCGTATAAGAATATCTGTGAGATTGGAATGGTCATGATAAAGTATGTGGTCATTTGTATGTAAGGTTGAAAATAGGATTTCTATTTGAGACCATTTGGGCGATGAATAACATTATTTTCCCACAACTGTTTGATAATATCCCATGCAATGATNGACCATTTGGGCGAGGAATAACATTCTTTTCCCACAACAGTTTGATAATATCCCATGCAATGATAATCTTTACTAGGCAAAGAGGATCTTAGTAATATGTGAAAAATACCAAGTTTAGGAAAGAACTGAATTGTAACTGGCTTGCTGACTATTTCTGTTGAAAAACTTTCTCCATTTGCAACTTGAAAAGTTTGCTGATAATTTTTCCACATATAATTAGGAAGAATAGCAGGATTAAGAATTGAACATGCTATACCAATATCAAATAGTGCTGCAACTGTTATGGGTCTTTCATATTTTCCTGTAAAAAACTTAACTTCAAGCATGGGCACATGAATGGTTAAGAAGACAGGATTAACAACCTGCATACATACCATAACATTCTTCTGTATAAGCAATTTCATCAGAAAGACTTTCATCAGAATCACACTCAAGAGCAAAGACAATTTATTGAGATTGTTCATCTTGCTCAGAAAAAAGAGATTCCAAATTATCATTTCCATAATCCATCTTAGTAGTTATGAAGATTTGATGGAGAATTTTATCATTTTTCTTAATAGGACATGCTTTTGCAAAGTGATCTTTCTTTCCACAGATAAAACATTTGTTTCCTTTCTTCTTTGAGAATTTTTGCTTGAAACATCTTTTCTTTCTCCTAAAATGATTAAGAAAAGCTTCTTTCCGTGAAAACTTCATTCTTCTTTTATGAAATTTTTTCTTTCCTGGACAATCACAATCTTTCATAGAGCGGCTAAACTTAATTTACAAATAAGGCTTTTCACATGCCTTCTTCCATTTTCTCCATGTAGCGTTGATGTCTTTGAGGAAAGCATTTTGATTGCAAGGCTTCTTCAATGTTCTCATGATCCAATTATGAAGTTCTCCAAAAGATGTAGCATTGAGAGGTAGTCCTTTTAACTCCATCGTTCTCAAAATTTCTTGACCAAGAGGCTGAAGAATCGATTCCAAATAAGCTTGTTTGATGCTGGTATCGTCCATTCCACCAATGAGATAGTATCTTTAAGTAGCATTTCTGAAGTGCTCTTCAAGATCTTTAGGATTGTATGAGCAACATCTTAGTTTGAAAAATTCCTGTCTACTAATTTCTTTATCGTGATCTGATTTTCTACGAAATTCTCAATATAAGGAAATCATGAAGGCATCCGTAGTGTTTGACTCCTGGGTAAACTAAAGTTGTCTGTATTCACCCATTGAATCATACCAATCTCCGAGACATCGTGTAATTCTTGTTATGAAAGCTTTTATGACCTTTGTATGGGTTATGTTTGGCTTTTGAAGTTCCGCAGTACACTAGACTTTCATTTCTTGTAGTCTGTATTTCCACTGTAAGGGAAGAATGTAATCAAAAGTGAATTTTGGTGAAGAATTGCCATTAGAATAATAATTGTTTGTCACATGAGCTTCAGGCATATCTTCATCAAATACTTCTAATTCATCAACAACTGGTTATGGTGTTTGAGTTTGAGATTGGCTTGTTTGTGCAGGGTCAGCCATATAGAAATGAGGATTTTCATTGTCAGACTCATCATATGAACTTTCAGAAGATTTAACAGACTCTATTTCAGAACTGGTGTCTTTTGTTATGGTGTGAACAGGAAATGATTGTTTATTCTAATTATGAGTATGTTGAAGAAAAGTGGAAATTGGATTTTTGATCATCATTTGAGGTTGTTTTGAAAGATTTGATAGTGGAAATTCTTAAAAAGAAGAAGTTAGAGAAGGTAAGGGTTGTGGTTATTGGATAGTAGTTGATCTAATCTTTTTAGAGGGCATTGATGCTTTCTTCTTTTGTTCCCATTCTTCAGGAGTGAAAAGAGTGGAGATAGATCATTGGTATNTGATCATCATTTGCGGTTGTTTTGAAAGATTTGATAGTGGAAATTCTAAAAAAGAAGATGTTAGAGAAGGTAAGGGTTGCAGTTTTTGGACAGTAGTTGATCTAATCTTTTTATAGGGCATTGATGCTTTCTTCTTTTGTTCCCATTCTTCAGGAGTGAAAAGAGTGGAGGCAGATCTTTAGTAAGTAGAAGTGTATAATGGTCCTGTTTGGGAGGATTGTGTATTAAAAGATGGATGGTGAGATCATTTGATTTGACTCAAGAAAAGATGGTTAAATTTTTAGATTTTTGATTTCTCTTTCTTGGGCGTCAAAAGGCATTTGGTTTTGTAAACAGTTCATTATATTAGTGTGTAAGGCTTCAATTCTTTGTCTACAGGCTTGAAAATGAGTGAAAATAGCTTGAGTCTGTTGTTGTAGAGTCCTTTCAATCCTTTGCTGACTTTAATCAATCTTTTTCAACAAAACATTTTGATGTACTGCGTTTTCTGATTGCCAACTCAAAGTTGATACAGCTGCTGAAACAGGTTGCACTGATCCATCTGATCTTCTGGTGCTGAGATTTTTGATTTTC